CTTTGATGGATATAGTCCATGGCTTCATCGAGCATCAATCGAAGGGTGTGTAGTTCCCTGGCCTTTTGATCAAAGGAGGCTTGGTTATCTCTTCTCGGTGGTATTTTGTTTTGTGAAAGAAAATTTAGAAAATGGCTTTTGAATATGAGGGGAAGGTGAGGGGTGTGGTCTGACTTAAGTAAAAAAAAGGCTCGACTATAATGATGTCAATTAATTTGAAGACTGTTAATGGCATTGGATGGTTAAAAGGTGCCGTTGAAATAAATGTGGTGGTTTGATTGCATGGGCAAGTTGCTTCATAACGTGTATGAGAGGTTTATTATTCTTTCACATAATTATTATTCACACAGAATAAGCTTAAATTTCAAATTTTAGACCCTTAATATGCAATAGATGAAACCCATTTCCATCACATCAGTCATTTGTAATAATTATGTATTATAAGAAAACGCAAATTTCTGCATAGAAAACAAATTATGCAAGTAACATTAACATTGATATAATTTGGACAATACATGAACACACAAGAAGCAAGAAAAAAAAAGACAGTGATTACTGCACATAGGCTATCTTTGATTAAGGGAAAAAATAAAGGAGAAGTACTAAATTAAAAAACCACCAGCACTCTCTGATCTAATCGATCTCAACCGGATTCTCGGATGTATCTTCATCATTCAGCAATTCCTCTGGAAATTCACCGCCGAGGATTATAACCCTAAAGAAGACATGCTCATCATGAATTTGAAGTATTTCAAACGCAAGACCATCCCCTCCACCAGATTGCTATCTTCAATTAACAAATTTCATTTCTTATTCATCATTTTCTTTGTTCCACTGTTCAAACTCATGCTCTAAGATTTTCCTTGACATAATAAAGTAGCAGGCGCTGCAACATCTAGAAGATGTTGATAAATTTTTTGCGGCAGGTTCTGTTTAAATATAGCAAAAATGTTAATAAACTAAAAAGCTTAATAGGCAGAACACTACAAAAGTAGGGGTCCATACGTAGGCATCGAGAGTGACGTAGGACTTGGTGAAAATAAGTTTGAAATGTGATTTATACCGAGTTAGAGATGATCCAAAAATAGCAGTGAGGATATTCCTTCACCATCCACGATATCTATGGACTTGAGATAATTTTGGGGAAACTGGGGGTGACCAGGAGGAATATTGGCCGCCATTAGTCCTACGTTACCTGAGTTTCCCCAAGATTATCCCGAGTCTATAAATGTTAATTTTTTGAAAGTAACATTTTGGTTCGTTTGCCTTTGGATTTTATGTTTTTCTTTTTCTTTTTCAAAGAACCTCTAGGTTTGCTAGATCAGCCCGATTAAGGTATTTCTCCTTTGTTTCTCTGTAGCAAAATAAGACTTCATAGTTATTTGAAGTTAAACCCCTTCCTTGGATGTAGCAATGAAATTAGTTTGGAAAAGCTTCACTCTTCATCGTCTTTTGATGAAAGAATTAAATTTCGGACGAACTGGTAGAGATGCTTACATTCTCTTGACTGTGTAATGAGCATTATCATGTTACTGAAGTTTCTCGTCGATATACCTTAAGATTGGTGGTTGTAGTTCTTTCTTATCAGCAAGAATATTTGCTTTTGAAATCAACTTTACATTCCCCAAAGTGTTAATAAAAGTTTAAGATACTGTGATTGAAGATAATTGGAGGCAAAAATTTCTGTTTTCCAGAACACTGTTTTTTAGAAGACTGGCATAGATCAGTAGTCTAACGACAATATGTAGCATGGTTGGACTCGGTCGTTATAGATGGAACATGGATAACATAAAGGAAAACATTTTAAAATTTAAAGGGGGGTTTACCTGCACCTGGTCACTGTGCTTTGCTGTAAATGACCTTGCTTAGCTGTTACATGAGGTGATTTTATTATTCTGTTTGAGCTTGAGAAGTTGTTGCAAAAAGAACTGAACTTCATTTTCGCCTCATAAATCCAACCTCGAAAATCCAAACTTGTGCTTAGCAAGGCCTTAAATTCAAGGAACCAGTATCTTGTTTCTTGGTTGGTTCTTCGGACCTGTGCGCATTATTGAGAGATCCTATTCTTTATGTTAAGCAAGCAGTCCAACTCTCATGTTCTGATGATAAATCAATCACATTTATATGTTATCATTCTGATGTTTGATGGCAAATTTTATGTCTTTCCTGTGGTTGGTTCATCGTATCTAACGATCTTGCTTATGTATTGGCAGCGCCCACCATTTATAAACTATGAATTGTTTGCGAACAGACATAAACACTACGCTTAATTATCTTTAGCTGCATTGGGTTCACTTTTCGTCTTCATGCAGTATATGGCTCTGCAATTGCTTCTTAAGTGGCAATTGCTTTCATATGACCAGTGGACTCTGACATAGTCTACTAGGTTTTCTCAACCCTTTGTGGACAAAAAAAAGAAGTTTAACAATGTGCTAGAAGTATCTTTTGACTAGAAGATTGAGTTGTCCTTGCAGGTAAGAATCTCACTGGAGGAAAGCTGGTGATTGATGTCAACTATTTGTTCTTCCATGTCCACCACGAGGCCATCGACCTTTGTAAAGAGACATCTTGCCCAGCTTCCGGTGATTTCGTGATTTCCCACTCACAAGAGTTGCCTGGATTTACTCCACCTGTGAGTCAACTTTCCGATTCAGTTTTGAACTATCCATCTTAATATCAATTTGCTATTTTCATTCTGCATAAAGTTTCTAAAAAGCTTAGCCGTCTCTGCATTTCATGAGCTGCTTTGTCCTTACAAGTCTTCAAACCATAATATTATGTGCCTCTTGTGGGAAAGTAGTGGGGTCTACTTCCTGATGCTGTAAAGCTATGGGTATGGACTAGTGGTAAGAGTACATTGCATGTTGTGCGGGTTAGGCGCACGTCATGGGTCGGTGTGCCTACGGCATTGGGGATTTTTTGGTTATCAAAAAAAAAAAAAAAGAACTTACGGCTTGAGGAGTACAGCCTTCACATTTGGTTCTCTTTTTGCTTGGCATTTTTGTAGATTTTCTTGCTTTTTGGTTCTGTTATTACCCTTCATCTTTTCGGAGGGAAAGCCTTTTAGAAAGTAGAGCACATCAAAGGCCAGTCTAATACAATTTCTTTTTGAAACAATAAAAACCAGCCAAATATATTGTATGAAGATGCTTTTTCCAATTGCATTTACAGGTCTACTTGAATTTTACTCAATTATTCAGAAGATGCTTTTTCCGATTGCATCTACTTGATATTTATCGATGTTTCAGATGCTGATTTATTTATCATTATAACTTGTCTTTGTTTGGTTTTCCGGGTTTGAATTGGAAGAAAATCCTGTACTGCCGCCTTTAAACGTACTTAATGGTGTTTTTCTTTTTCCTTTTTAAAATTTAGGGATCATACACTCTTACAATGAAGATGGTGGATGACAAGAATCAGCCACTGTCCTGCATAAGTTTTGGCTTCAGCATTGGGTTTATAGCCGAGTCCCAGGCGTTAGCAGCAGATAGCTAGGTGGTCCAAGGACCTAGTAAAAAATAATGGTTTTTCAATATTGTAATCAAGTGTCTTAAAGGAGTCTCTCCAAACTTTTGCTGTTTCTGCTTTAATGTATAAATACTTGTATTATCTGGTTTATGGCTTTTTCTTGTACATCTTGATACAGTAATATCAGTGTTGCTGGTTTTCTCAGAAATTCAAGAACAGTCTGTTTCTTTATCCTCAGTAATACTGCTTATTTAAGCCAGAAGGGGTTATTTGTGTTGCATGATTGAGAATCTGCAGCAATTAGTAAGAGACCGAAACACACCTATTTGGTGGATCAGAGGTCTATTGAGGGGATCAAAGTGCATATTGTGGCCTACGCCTAACACTTGAACTGCCAGGTTCATCAAAGTGCATGAGTGGGACCTTTTAGACCACGCCCGCACAATGCACATGAATTTTTATGTGCGCACTTTGAATACCTGAGTGAAAATGCCAAACATGGAACTTGTTCCTCCTCTGTCCCACTTTATGTGATGCGTTAAAAAGGAATGACACGTATTTCTTTTCGAAAACTATTTAATTTTAATACTTTTATTTTATCCTTAATGACATGACTTGTTGAATTATATTTTATATAAATGTTACATTCTTTTATCGACTCCAAAGGCAGTTGCTTTTTCTAATCGAGATTGGTTTGATCTACGTCTGTTCTAATGAAACCTAAACTCTCATTACCCTGCCTATATGGTAGACAATGCCTACTAGTGGATGGTTGTACGAGAGACGATCTCTATTCTCATCCTTTGGATGCTCGTTCAGGGGGGGCCCGGGTTCTGTAGTTTTGAGACTAAAAGTTTTCTACTTTTCAACTATAATAATTTCCTTTCCGAGAGAAGAATATCCAAAGAAGTTGTTGATGGTGTTTTATAGTTAGCTTGTCGAATCAACATCATGATATGTAGGGGCTTGCTTTTTGACTTGTTGAGACAGGTCATGCTCAACATAAAAAAGGTTGAGTCACTGTTGTTACTTTATATCCTCCAAACTCTCTAACCGATAAAAAAGAAGTTGCTTTGCACACATTGTGATTGCATTATTGCGAGTGGCACACCCTTGTCCCCCTCCTGAATTTGGTCACGTAACCTTCTACTTAGTGTTATCATTGACGGAAATAAGATTTTTGCAAAAGAGAAATTACGAAAAAGTTAAGTGATGCATAAAATAATAATTTACTTAGCTACACGGTTAATTTTTCGATGATTAGCCGTACTTGAACAACGGTGGCTCCGTCACTGGTTGTTACCTCCATTTCCATTGTGAAATTATCTATGCTTAAACCGATCATAAAAGCCCACGTCTGCTGTTTTATATGGCAAAATTACTGAGAAGTCCTTCACATATAGAGATTGTCATATCAATGTGCACTCATCTCTCAGTTAAATTGAAACCAGCTGTTGAACATGTTCTTTTTTCTACGTATTTTTATCAATTTACTAGTCATCATTCAGTAGTTCAAAAAGCTACTAACAAATAGTCTTTTGTGCATTGCTTTTTAACCACTGGAAAAGAAAAATCAACAAGAGAAAAGTCCCTATCCACCCCCCTTTGATCAATTATACCTTCAAAATTTGGGTGTGGACAAAAGTATTAGTCCAACTCTTTCTTTGTGGAAACTAGTAGCTAAATCAGTCTACAAGGGAAACAAACAAGGAAAAGAAAAGGTACAGGGGAAATGAAAAGCATGAAGGGAGGAATTCTAAGGAAAATCAAGTCCATTCCATCATTAACTTCGTTGAAACACAACCTAGTTTTCCAAGTAAATCGTCCAATCCAATACTTCCAAAGTCACCTAACAGCAAACGAAGAACATGACAATGACATCCCTCCTGAGATGTTTTGTCAAAACAATAGTTCTGATCTTGCAAAGGATGTCCGAAAAGGAAAACTCCATACCAACCAAAGTTCAAAGGACATGATGTCTACCACAGATAACAGTAAAATGGAAAACACTTCAACATGGGAGACTCATTCTTGTACAACTGTTCCATTGTCTGAGCATGAAGTACAAATCTTAACATCTACTCCTCAAACTCTACCAGAATATTCAGATACCATGGAGAAAAGTAACTCCAAAGACGAGGAAAACAGAGTCTTGGAACTCTCACCACTGTCTAATTTCGAAGAGAAGTGTCCACCGGGAGGAAGTGACAAAGTAATTTTCTACACAACAAGTCTAAGAGGGATCAGGAAAACGTTCGAGGACTGCAACATAATCCGGTTTCTGCTAGAAAGCTTTCGAGTTGTCTACTACGAGAGAGATGTATCGATGCACGTTGAATACAGAGAGGAGTTGTGGAAGATTCTTGATGGAAGAGTAGTCCCTCCAAGAATATTTATTAGAGGCAGGGACATTGGTGGAGCTGATGAAGTTGTAGGATTGCATGAACAAGGAATATTAAAGAAACTTTTACATGGGATTCCTTTACTTCCTTTAACTTCTCCATGTAAAGGGTGTTGTGGGATTAGGTTTGTTTTGTGTTTCAATTGCCATGGAAGCTGCAAAATTACTGATTCAGAAGGGAAAGCTAATGAATTTCCAAGTCGATGCCCCGAATGTAACGAAAATGGACTGATCAAGTGCCCAATTTGTAGCTAATTATTGGCCATGTTCTTGTAAATATGTTATCTTATGGGAAGATGTATTATGTTTATGATTTACTTAGAATCATTGCAAGGGTTTAAACATCTATTGATCCTATTCCTATTATCAGTTGATTAGTTTTAGGCCTTGAGGTTTTTTCTCCCTCCCATTTCACTGATAGGCTAGGACTTATCATGTTGGGACTTCAAATGCTCTTTCCAATTAGAGTAACGTAACCTGCTTAGATTTGAAATGTCATTATGTTTTTATATGGGGNCATCTCCTGTTACACTAGAAGAGCTCAGGTATTTCCGGTTTTAGCTAATTTGATACATTTCATGGAGAATATTTTTGGTAACACTAATGTTCGGGTCTATTTGTATGCATATGACTATTCTATTGTGTACATGGTAGACTACTACTTCACACCCGTATATATATTGATCGGGTAACTCTGTCCTATATAAACTTAGCATTTTTTTTAATTCTTAGACATGCCAATGAAGCCACCCCCACCACCCAACTCATGGAGCTCATCACCAACTATGGCTCCCCAACACACTTCGCCAGGGAAGAAGAACAGGTTGTACCACTCTTACAACAGTTCCTTCTAGAGGAGCTATAGCGATTGGACTCCCCCCCCCCTCCAACACCACCAGGGACATTGCGTACAAGCACATTGCAGGAAAGCATTCTCGATCAAGTTCTCCAGAACATCACAATAACGGAGCTCCTGATAATCACCTTGCCCCAAAACTCAGAAAGAAAATTTCTCCTCAGTGTGCCACCTTTGGTAATGAAGATGACCATAAACATGAAAATCTACCCCGTGGATCCACTATCTTACTCCATTGTGATGGTTCCAACTATGAGGGAGCAAGCACCCCCTCAAGAAGACCTCAACTATTAACGACTGTATCTTGCTCTGACCCCTACGAGGGCCCATCAAGAGAGATCAACCCAAAACAACCCCCTAATGAAGATACTGTTATGGAACTGTAAGAGAGAAAATGGGGTGGATTTCAGGAGGAACCTTAGAGTAGTCTTATCATGGAACAACCCCACTATGGTCTGTCTCACTGGAAAAAAAAAATGAAAGAAGCAGCACACGAGGCTCTAATAGTGGAATTAGGTCTTACCAACATGCTACACGTGGATGCTATTGGCTATTTAGGGATGATCATGTTGTGGAGAGAACATGAAGTTGCATAGGTGGACCGCATCGCCGCCACAAACCAGGAAACACATGCAAATGTCCACGTAAGCCCCTCAAGTCAGCCTGGATTCTATCTCTAGTCTATGCTAGTACTAGTTTTAGTAATAGGAAAATGCTCTGGGACAATCTAGAGCAAATCTCGGCATCCCATGCACATCCCTGGATCATTTGTGGGGATTTTAATGAAATTACCTTTGCCACAGATAAATTTTGGGGAGACATTATTAATAATAATCGAGCCAATGCGGTACTAGATTGCCTCCATAATATAAACATGGTTGATCTAGGTTTCACCGGCTCAAGATTCACATGGTCAAACCTAAGAAGTACTAGGAAAATTTAATTCTAGAAAGATTAGACCATTTCTATGCAAACCCCGCGTGCTTAGTATGCACCCTGACTCTACGATCAATCATCTCCCTAGAACCCATTCAGACCATTGCCCTCTCTTATTAAGTCTCTCAAAAACAACTAGGCTCAATAAATTATTTAGGCTGGAAACCATGTGGTTCAACCATTAGATTTCATTAATATTGTTAATCATCACTGGCAGTACTCCTTATACAATTATGCACTAATTAATTTTACCAAACACATCAAAGAGTGGAATAAAACTACTTTTGAAAATATTTTCCAAACAAAAAAGTGCTCGTTGCCAGACTAGCGGGCCTCCAAAAAATGGACCCCGCCACGAAATCTTTCTTCCACCAAAATCTAGAAAACAACCTACATGACCAATACAATGTTATTTAAAAAATGAAGAAGATTTTGGAAACTAAAATATCGTGTTCTCTGGCTAAATGAGGGCGACGTTAACACTAAATTCTTCCACGCTTCTACTATCCAACGAAGAAGAAGAAATAGAATTCCAGGCTTAAATGACTCTGTAGGTAACTGGACCTACGATCACAATGAAATAACCACCATTATCCTAAACCACTACAATACTATTTACTCAAAGCTTACTTCCAGCATTAATGAAACAAACTATTACTATGATCATGCTCTATCACAAGAAGATAGGGCACATCATTCCTGACCCATTACTGAAATAAAAGTCAACCAAGCAATTAGATCTTTCAAACCCCTTAAAGCCCTAGACCAGATTGGCTTTATCCAATTTTCTTTCAAAAACAATGGAATGCCACTTAAAGTGCTGTCCTGCAAACATGTAAAGATGCTTTTGACTCTGCTACCATACCACGCGATCTAAATACCAACTTTATCACTCTCATCTCAAAAGTCAAGAACCCTGAGCACATTTCTCAATACGGGACTATAAGTCTTTGCAACACCGTTTATAAAACCATTACCAAAATAATAATGAATAAGATCCACCCCTTCCTCAAACACCTAATTAGTACCAACCAGTACAGTTTCCTGCCAGGTAGAAGGGCTGTAGATAATGCCATCATAGTGCAAGAAGCAATCCACTCCTTCAAACGCACGGCAGGCCGTACGGGCAACATGATGCTCAAGCTAGACCACGAAAAACCATTTGACAGGCTTGAATGTTCTTTCATCCGCAAATCTCTCCATAACTTAGGATTCCCTGCAAATCTTATCAACCTAATCATGAATTATATCTCATCCTCTACCATCTCCATCATGATTAGTGGAAAATCAACAAAATTCTTTGAACCTTCGAGAGGTATACACCAAGGAGACCCCCTGTCTATACACCTTTATCATTTGTATGTAGTCTCTATCTCACCAAAATGACCAAGCAACAACCAATGGAGATTGGACGCCAGTTAAGATCAGTAGATCTGGACCACCACTCTCGTACCTCCTTTTTGCAGACGATCTTGTATTATTCTCACGAGTTGACATTCATAATGCTAGCACTATTATAAATATATTCAACAATCTGCATAGCCAGTCGGGGAAAAAATAAATTTCTCCAAATCCAAAGTATTTTTCTCGATATGTGTGCCCATTAACACTCAAGATTATTTGATTAGAGCACTAAACATTTGCAAATCCAATAATTTTGGAAAATACCTTGGTTTCCACCTAACAAATAACTTTCCAAAAGGCAAGGATTACCAATTTATAATCGATAAAATGAACAATAAACGTTCTTGTAGGAAAGCAAAAACTCTAAACATGGCAGGAAGAACTATTTTGATACACTCATTACTGGCCACTATACCTAACTACTGCATGCAAAACAACCTATTACCACTGTCACCACTCCTAAAACACTAGGAGGACTGGGTCTATATAAAACTGTTGATAAGAATTATGCTACGCTAGCAGGGTTCCTTTGGCGATTCCATAAGAGTGCAAATTCCTTATGGGCTAAAATACTTCAAGCAAAATATGTTCAACATAGACATACATGAACATACCAGGTCAAGCCAACTAATTTATACACATAGAAAAGTATGACCAAGGCCACCGACCTCTTCCAAATAGGGCTCTTCTAGAACATAAGGGATGGCTTAACTATCAACCACTGGAACGACAACTGGCTCCCAAACAATAGCTATCTGCGCCATACGATTCCGGGGCCCCTACAACACATGGAAGAACAACTAACTGTATCCTCAATCATCCCAACCCACTTGTATTTTCTAGGAAGATTATCCTTCTCCCTACCTCCTACGACTGTTCAATTAATAAACCACACCATCTTCCCATTCTCCACCAACAAGCCCGACCAATCTTTCTGGAACCAAACACTCCTTGGCAATTTTACTACCAAATCAGCATATATGCTACAACTCCAGATCACCAACCAACTGCCATCACCACATATGTCACTTACTCTTGGATTTGGCACTTCAACAGCTTGAACAAATACAAATTCTTCTTGTGGCTACTTCTGCACCACAAACTCCCTACTAGAGACTTTCTGTACCAGAGAAAAATCCTTCAATCACGCTTCTGTCAATTCTGCCCAAATACTGTACAAGACATAAACCACATATTATTTAGATGCAAGCACTCCTGCCATTTATGGTCTTTATTCAACTTATGCATACCCCCAATCACACAACCTTGTCAACTGGATAATGGAGAAGTCCTCAAAAACAATACCATCAAAACACCAAATGCCTCCTTCACAGCACCATGCTCCATCATAATGCCATTCATCCTCTAGAATATTTGGATTAATAGAAATTCAAATCTATTTAAGCAAACCTGAGTCCCTACGTGCAACAAAAAAATCATGCTTCAAGTAGCTGAATACCTCTCACTCACTCAGGCCACAACATCCCCAAAATCATGACTGCAAATACGTTGATGGCATATGGATTATGGGCTTTACGCAAAAAGCGACTGCAAATTCTACAATACATACGGAGCTACTTGCACTACTTGCTGGACTGGAACTATCTTTCACAAAATATCTCCAATTATAGTGAAAACAGATTCACAGGTATTATGTAATTTATTTAAGATTCAACAAACTCGATTCTCACATCTCCTTAATGATTGCAGTTTTCTTCTTGCTACTGTTGGATCGGAGGCTATAAACCACATTTATAGGGAAGGAAAATCTGTGGCTGACGCTCCGTCAAAGTATGGACGTACCGTGCTATCAATAACGATGGAGGAAGACAACATAACCTACTGGGAATTTCCACCGGCCTTTGTTGCTTTTAATAAAGACAGATTGGGAATAATTGCTATGCGGTCTATTCCTATGTTATGTAATAACAATAACTAGACCTTTTAGTTTTCTTAATATAAATTATTCCTTTCCTTAGGAAAAAAAAGTTGCTCAAAGTGATATTGGCAAAGTAATCTTCTGCAGAATCTCCTTCCAGGAGTTTGTACCATTTGCCTCGATAGTTGTATCTTGCTGCGGCATTATAAATATTGTTCTCAATCATCTAAATATTGATATAAATGATATTAAGTATGTAAGTTTTATATATATATATGTAAATTTATTTTGCAATGAATTTTAACATGTAAGAGCAAGTTAGTAATCAATTTTACTTGTTTACCA